TCTCAGTACTCTGGAAAAGTCCCTGACAACAGATTTTCCCAGTACAATTTGTCTTTTGATTTCCTGGCTCCTGGTGCCAAGAGTATTGATAGCGGAGCCAAGCAAGCTGAAATTGTTAAAAACCTCAGTATCTTCTCCATCTGTCATGATGCTGCCAATGGTGAAAATCTTTGTCTTAGTGATGCTAAGCTTCAATCCTTATTGAAGACTATAGTCCTTGACTTTCTACTGCAAATGCTTCAGGTCCTCTTCTCAGTATCAGCAAGCAAGGTTATGTCATCTGCATGTCACAGGTTGTTGATGAGTTTTCCTCCAATCCTGATACCACATTCCTCCTCATAAAGCCCAGCTTCCCTAATGATCTGTTCTGCATGTAGATTGAAAAGGTATGGAGACAGGAAGCATCCCTGACACACTCCTTTCCAGATTTTGAACCATGCAGCGTTTCCCTGCTCTGTTCAGAGGACTGCTTCCTGAGTTGAGTACAGGTTTCACATAAGCACAATCAAATATCAGATATTCTGGGATTCCCATTCTCCTCACGGTTAACTACAGTTTGTTGTGATCCACAGAAATGCTTTTCCAGTTGATGAAACAGAAAGATATTCCTCTGGTACTCTTTGCTTTTGGTCCATCTGACATTGGCGATAATGTCTCTAGTGCCACAACCTCCTCTAAACCCAGTTTATATTTCTGGTAGTTTTTTGGCCATGTACTGTTCCAGTTAGTTTTGGATAATCTTCTGCAGGATTTTGCTTGAGTGTAGTATCTACAGTGCCCCTGGGGTATTGGTGACATAATGGCCCTTCATGGCTCTCCAGGAGCGGGGCAGGTAATGATAGTTTGCTCATAGCCCCTGAGAAAGAAGAGGTCTCATTAGGCTAAAGATAAAGAGGAGACGTGAATTGCAAGGAGTAGGTGGAGAGCTTGGGGGGGGAGCACATGGGGGAGGTCTCACAGTTGTTTGGGCCAGGCCGTACCCAGAAGGGCCCAAATCCAGGACAGAGGTCTGAGAGACAGGGATAGCAAGCGGACAGCTTACCCAGGCAGCCTAAACGGAGATACAGGGTTGATGAGCAGACAGCTCACCCAGGTGGGCCCAAGCCCGGGACAGAGATCGGAGGGACAGGTATGCATGCAAGTGGTTCTGGACACACGGGTCTATCTTGGAGAGGAAGTGTGAGGCAGCCTTGGACATACATGGTTGTCTTGTGGACAGCATCTTGCTTGAGACTGGGCACAGGTCTGGGAGGACGGCGGACCTTGAAGTCTGAAATGCCCTACAGAATACTGAGTCTCGTGTAATTATTCCAGTGCATAGTTAATGTGGCATTCCTTCCCACATCAGATTTTGTTTTATTTTCAAATACATGTTAATCTACTCTTCAGCAGTTAGTTTTGCCACAGCAGGAAATACTACTTGTGAGACTTTTGTGCTAATTTGTTACTAAACACTGCTGTGATCAAAGGCCTGGTCAGCCTGATTGTCTGAGGGCCACACGGTGCTTGTAGACCCTCTTGTGGTTTTCCAGAGGCCGCTTTGAGTTTCCATGGACTACCCAGCCTACCTCCCTGCCGTTTTTGTCATGACCACTATGTCACAGTCCTGCTAGAGTATTAAAACTGCTTCCCAAAAAGCAACTCTGGCTCTGGTCAGCATGTGCAACAGCCACCTGGCTCCACAGCATCCTTCTGGTGACAGTGCACTGAGGGTCCCCAGGGCACCCTCAGAAGCCATGGGCAGTGTCACTACCACCTCTGAGGCTGCAGTCCTGGCTCAGGACATGACCACCTACTGGTCTTCCCAGTTCTTCATACAGTGCAGGTTTATGGGACAATTAAGTATCTTTTCTGCAAAGCCAGAGATAGTGTCTACATTATTATTATTTGCTAAAAGACCTGTGCTTCCAGAGTGGTCACCTACCAGGTGACATCCTGGCATCAAGCCTCTCTGAGCTGCCTGGCCTGGCACTGTATTGAGCCGGACATGGGGAGTGGATTGTTCAGCTGTCTCTCAAACCCCAGATGGGTTAAGACCACACATGCTTGATTTTCCCAAGTGGGGCAAGCGCGGCTGCATAAGGTGCCCCATTCTAGACGAGCTCTGGTGGCCTAGTGGCAGGAAGCTGCACTGTAATCCCAGAAGTGAGCAGTTCAAATCCACCAACTGCTCTGCTGGAGAAGGAGGGACAGTCTCCTCCTGTACCAGTCAGATCTGATTTGACGGTACACACACATAAAATAATTTAAAAAAAAAAAAGTAAAATTAAAAAAAGAGCCTTATTCTAACATTGAGCCATCCAGGTGGGGCATCACACTGCCGTAACTGGCAGATCCTTGTCAGAGACCCGCCTCCACTTGGATCCACCCAAGCCTCTGTCCTCAGAGCTCTAGACATTCCTTCGGCTTCTCTGGGTCATGTCATCACTCCTGTGAGAGTCCTGTCTGCTGCTGCTCTGTCAGCATGTGCTTGCTGCTGTCAGGCTCTCAGAAACTTCTCAGTAAGTAATGTCTGCAGCGGCCAGGTGAGTGGTCCCAGCCTCCCTGTGACACATGGCCATGACTCATCCTCTGGGCATCATGCCACACACTCTGTGCCCACTCAGGAGCCTGGACTCATATAGTACTCACCACGCTCCATCCTGGCAGCATCCCAGTTCCTGCTTGTCTCTCCCTGAGCAGCATGGACTCGGGGCTGGGCGCCTCCTGTGCTCCTCCCAAGAGTGTGGATGCCATCCTTCACCTCAGAGCCTCTGTTTGCTCCTCTGCACCTAGAGTGATGAGGGGACGAGGCGTTGGTGTGGAACACATTGTGATGAGTCTTGACAGGAATCATCACGTACTGTGATGGGTCTCTGACAGGACAAACCGTAGAAGGTCTGTGACCAGCATCATCACAGGACATAACTAAGGTGATCACTAACAGGAATTGTCACAGGGTGAACCGTAGATGGTCTGTGACAGGAATTGTGAATGGTCACAGGATGTACCAATGTTGGGTCTCTGACAGAGAGTATCACAGGACAGTGGTGGGTGTCTTACAAAGCATTGTCACCAAATGTGCCATGGTAAATCTCTGACAAGAGATTGTCCTGACCCCCGCCTCACGGGGAACTTAGAAGATCATGATGGTGCCTGTGTGGGATGCACCCTGGTGGGTCTTTGACAGGAATTGTCACAAAAAGCTCCTCATGGGAAGTTGTGATGGCAGTGGCTCAGGTGTGGTCCATACCGTTTGGGTCTCTGATGGAGATCCTTGGAGCCCCTACTTCATGGTACGCTGTGAGAAGTGTGGCTGTGGTGCAAGATGCACAGCAGTGGGTTTCTCACAAGGCGATGGCTCTTGGAATTACAAGAATGTGATTCCTCAGTCAGGCCTGATAGTGTCAGAAGGGCAGTGTGAGGGGTAGGGATGTCTCAGAACCCATGAAGGTCAGCAGCACCTAACAGGCCACCTGTGGCATGTAAAGCCATGCTCAGCTGTAGCCCACTGGGTGCCACTGATCTTGAGGTCATGGTGCTATCCTTTGCTTTTTTCTTCTCAAGTCTGATTACTGGGGATTTAATATTCCTGCAGTACTATGAGTTCTGTTTTGCAAATACTAATTAAGATTGCTTCCTTGCTTCAAGACAGAGTCCCAAGTGTTAAATATAGTGTGGAAATAAATAATATTAATGATTGACATCAGTGAAAACAAAATCCTTGTTCTTAGACACGGGTTGGTTTCTTAATCACATGTTTAAGTGTTTGTAACAAATGTAATATGATACATGATTGCCCTGAAAGGGTTTGGAGAGAGAAGCATCTTTATACAGTGAGAGCTGGCTTTGCTGGCAGTAAAATAGATTCTATTGTGAAAACAGGTGCCCTTGTCCCTAGAGAGAAGAGCCCATTTAGAATGAACTTGACCAGCTCCTGTGTTCTGTGTGTGTGCCATGTGCCAGACAGGAACTGGAAGCCCCCAGGCTGCTCCATGGAAAAGGCCTGTGGAGGACCTGGCTACCAAGCTGTGTTCCCCTTGGGAACGCTCAACCCTCCAACATCCCTCCTGTCTTCTGCAGACTTCTTTTCATGCAAGTGAGAGCTGTGAGCAGTGGTGAGCTGCACTGTGACAAGACCAGTCGTGGTGCTTTTGAACCCTGTGGTTGTCTTTGGACCTGCCCCACTCCAGAGCCTGGGCAGAGCCAGGGCAAGAGCACGTCAGAAGAGCCATTGTGTCCTCAACCAGTCAGCCTTGAGAGTGGAGGGAGGGAGTACCAGCTCAGACCTGAGGAGTCACAAATGCTTTGTGCATCATGGCCTGGCAGGACAGCCACCTGCTGATGCAACTCCCTCCAGGTGCAGCCAAGTGGAGGCCAGAGTCAGGTGACTGATGGTGACTTCTCAGTATGGCTCAGCTCCAGCAGGAGCCTAATGGCTGTGATTAAAATTCCTTTTCGTGAATTGAGGAATGAGCTTTTCAGTGGAGCGGGAAGGCTGCAGGAGGAGGACTCTGGCTCTGTGTTTGTGATCGGCAGGAGACCTGGAGGGCAGCGTCCTCCAGGTGGGTGTTCCATAGGCGATCCAAGGCTGGCTGGGGGCTACCTCTAGTTGGAGGTGAGCTCATCTCGCAGAGGAGAGTAGCTACTTAAAGCCCTTTGTGCTTGCTCTTTTCATTATCTGAGTTCAACCTTCCTTTAGAGTCTCAGAGCCAAGCAGAGATGCATAGGAGACCTGAGGCTGGCGTCTGGGGGTGAGCTCACCTCTCAGGAGTCAGCTTAGCCCCCTTCCTGTTTATTCTTCTCATTTCTTCTGGTGACTCCAGATGGGCAGAGGACTCCTGGATAGGATGGGGCTCAGTGGTGGGAAGTGATGCATTTGAGTCCAGCATTCTTCCCCTCGTGCTGGGGGGGCTTGTTGGAACAGATGCAGAGCCATAAGGGGTGTGCATGCTGAGTTTGAGGGCCCCATGGTTGGGATCACTTCTCTCCTCACACCAGGTCATGTGCTTTGTTTACAGGAGGCCAGCACCTCGCCCTGTGTGCTGTCAGCTGCAGGGAGACCTCTGCCTCCTTTGGAAGATAAACAACCAGACAGGCCTCTCAGCAGAAGCCGGGATCCACCCCGAGAAGAAGAGAAGGAGAAGAAAAAGAAGAAGCACAAAAAACGGTCTCGGACGAGATCCCGCTCACCCAAGTACCACTCATCATCTAAGTCCAGGTCCAGGTCACACTCGAAAGCCAAGCACGCCCTCCCCAGCGCCTACCGGACAGTGCGGCGGTCGAGGTGGGTGTGCAGGGCACGGTCCTGTCTGGGAGTGTCCAGTAGGTACATGTGAGATTGATGCAGGTGTGTGTGCCTGTGGTGTGGCCCTACAGTAACATACCTTAACCCCAACAGGGCCCAGGGGCAGCCTGGCACACTTGCTGAACCTTTGACAAGTTCAGAGAGCATTAGGCTGGGCTGATTACTGTTGGAATTAGAAACATTCAAACAGAAGGGACCTTCCCAGGTCACCTTTGTGCAGTTCTGCACATTGAAGCCTAGTTCTACAAACACCTGTCTTCTGCCAGTCACCAGCCTCTGAGGCACTGTGGCCCTGAGGAGCTGACTTTGGAGAAGGACATGATTTCTGGAATTGGAAATTGCAACCGTGCATACTTTTCAGGGTCATGGAGTGTGCAACTTCCTAACCAGCAAACACAGAAGTGCCAAGCTGGCTGGAGGCTTTGAGAAGCAGGTGCCTCAGCCTGCCCTGTGGTTGGTCAGGAGGCTGGCTGCCTCCCTCCATCTCCTACATGGCAGCTCTCCTATCATCGACTCACTTCTTTTCTTTCTGTAGAAAAGATGCTGGTGTCCTACATTTTTTTGTTTCCTAAAATTTAACTATGCACTTGGCTCCCTATGAATATATCCTGAAAACAAGACATTTAGCTTCATTTTACCCCGAAGCTTGATGCATCCTCAGACCTGCTTGTCATTGGTGAAGTCAGCCAAGCCTGGGAGATGAGTTGAGAGTGATTTCTGGGCATCTGCATTTTTGCTAATTCTTTCAAACGTCCGTCACTTCCTCCCTCACTCCCGCCCCACACCTAAACACAGAAGTCTTTTTGTATTACAATAAATGAAATCTTGCTGACACATTTTCTATTTTTGAAAGCTCCCAGTTATGTGCAAGTACTCAAAACCTTTTTTTTTTAAGAATTTTGTTTTTCAGGGGAGCTCTGGTGGCCTAGTGGCAAGAAGCTACACTGCAATCCCAGAGATAGGTGGTTCAAATCCACCAGATGCTCTGCCGGAGAAGGAGGGGCAATCTCCTCCAGTACCAGTCAGATCCGATTTGACGGTACACACACATACACACAAAATAATAAAATTTAAAAAAAAAAAAGCCTTTTTTAAAAAAATGGGGGTTTTTTCCCCAAAAAAAAACAACAAACCTCCACTAGCTGAAAATAAGTGACATAGTCCTACAGGAGCCAGCTGGGCGCCGCCTGGTTGCTGGAGCCATTTGGTGCAGGGCTCAAGTGAGGGAGTGTCGGTGCCAGGCTCCCTCTGGGGCTGGTAGCCAGGGCTCCGCTGTCAAGTGTGAGCAGCTCGGCTTTCAGCAGACTCAGTGGGTCCTGGAGCTGCTTTCTGATGGAAGCAGCTTGTCCCACACATGAAACGCTAGCTTCATCAGTTTTACATCTTTTTATTGATTATCTATAATAGAATAAATAATTTCTATATTACATAATCTTAGAGTATTTTTTCCATTTTAGAATAGATTTAGAGTTCCATGTTTTTCTTTTACATTGAAATGAACTATTATTTTTATATATGCATTGCTGATATGTGTTGGAAACCACATCTTCTTCCTTAGTTTTTAACTTTCCGTTAAAATAAATTATAAAAGAAAGCAATGTTAAAATTTTCTATGTATGAGTTCTCTGACCATAGGCTACCAATTTTAGCCTCATTAGACATACAATGAAAGCATTCTGCAGTGTGAGCTGACTCTCAGAGTTGCTTATCTTAATGGCTGGGATGGTATCTACATGATACCATAAATCTAGACTTTAGTTAAATCAGCTGACTGACAAGTTTACTCGCTAAGTGCAGTCTTTCCTGTTTGACTAGGTAAAGTATGAAGACACAGACCTAATTGCAAAATAAAAAGAATAACAAGATGAAACAAAGCTTTTAAAGTATTTGGTGGTACATGGAGTGGTGCCTCAAATTACCATGTGACTCTGATCCCTCTTGTGACAAACCCTGCTCTGTACTCAGCCACCCAAAGGGTGGTGAGTTCAAGGCATAGGCACAACCAAGAGACCAGCATTGCCTCTCCCAGGGGGCCTGGCCTCAGAGTCCACCCAGAAAAGCGTCAGCTCCAGCCGGTCCTCCAGCATCAAGCCCTCAGCAGCTTGCGGGCCTGGTCCTTTCCCCAGCTCCCCAGCACTGGAAAAGCCCACAGGATCTCTAGTAGGTTGTAGATGCTCCTGTCATAGATTGGGGTGTATTGTTATTCTCAGTAATATGAATTGTTGAATAGTAAAAGTAATAATAATTAAATCTTAACCAACATATTTAAGTTGCTAATGATACTGTCATAATTTTTCTTTAACTATCTGTCTTTTCAGATAGAGTAACCCAATACAGACATAATGTCCACGTAGGACGTAGGAGAATTGTTTCTTGGGCCTGAGACAACTTAATTGAGTGTTTTAAATGACCACACTGCCAGCGCCAAGTAAAATGCCACGTTGTTTACTTAATATTTCTCCTGGTGGTAGGATACTGCAATGGAAATCTAGTTTCTTTTGTATGTTAAATTTTTAAAGCTCTGTATAAATGTAGAAAGTTTACATTTTTAGAAAGCCTCTTTATGTCGTAATGAATACTTACATAGAATGTTTGAGAGTTAAATCCCATTCATTGAGTGCCTTAATAATAAGTAATTATGATTCCCATAGACTAATTATTCTTAGAAAAATCTCTAAAGTACAAGATTTTGCCCCCCTCTTTTGTTTTGTTTGTGTTTTTACAACTCATTAGGCTGTTGACCTTAGAAGACGGATTCTTTTAAGACACACTAAAGCAATTTACTTACTGTCTGAAATTAAAAGTTTATTTTAATGGTTAAGAAATTTATAAACTATAACTTCTGAGAGTTAAAGCTGCATTTATTTTTAAAACTCCTGGTAAGCTGTCCTTTGGTGTCAGCATGTCATCTTGACTTGACCATGTCTAGGAGATGTCTGACTATCTCCAGAGCTAGTCTGGCCTTGTGGGGGTGTCTGGGTCATTCTCTGAACTCCTCATTCTAAAATGGGGAGAGCCTGTGTGATGAGAGTGATTGGAGGTGCTCACTCCCAGAAGAGAGCAAGAGAGGAGGGGTGCACTGGGGATGAAGCCTTCATTCTCATAGTCACAGTCAGGGTTCAGAAAGAATTCAAGCCAGCAGAATTGAGGTCATACATTTATTTGAAATGTCCCCTTTCCCCATATGCAGTGTAGCAAACCAGGAAAAGGAATTGATGCCACCCACTGAGCCTGCTCCTTAGCAGGTGCTGCAGGCGTCCCCATAAGCTGTTCACAGTGCTGGCCCTGCTCTGGTGAAGGAGCCAGACAAGATCCAGGAGGGACAGCTGTGTGGATAGGAAGGAGAGGCAACCAGAGCAGACACACAGCCTGTGGGGGTCATTTCATAACCACAGTAGCACTCCGTTCTCAGTTACAGCACGAGGACAGGGCAGTTGGGTCCCCCGTAGAGCAGAGCCTGAGCTCCGTCACCACCCATCTTGTAGCCTCTGATAGAGCCATGGTGGAGGAAGGTACTGCGGAGATGTGGTTAGATGCTGGGGACAATGACTTGTTCAGACAAAGTGTCTGGAATTTTGATCATTGGTAGGAAATCCCATTATGCCTTAGCTTAAGCACTAACCACAATGGTCGGTCACTCAGGAGAACACATTGGAGTTGCGCAGTGCCTGAGAAATTGTCATTGCAGCCGTTTGGTGCAGGTGCCTAGCTTAAGAAGTGGAGTCCCGTGTCTGCACTGTGTTGTGGTGGCAGTATTGAAAGCCCAATTAACAGAATAAGAAGTGCCGGGGCTGCTTTAATTAAAGCACAGCTTCAGGAATTATCTGGTGTCATTTTCTGGCCTGATTCTTGAGATGGGCTCCATTCCCAGATGACTGGGAGTCTAGTGCCAACAGCCGCTTCCCTGTAAGAAACCTTGGTGTTTGGCTACTACAGACTGGGACTGGGAGAGCTGTGGGTTTGCAGGCGTTGAAAGCTAACCAATTTCTCCTGATTCCTGAGTCTCGTGTAGCGAGCTTGCTAAGCTCCGTAAGGCACTGTCCTGTGAGCAGGCACAGCGCCCTTGCGGGATTCTAGTCCTACCAGACGAGCCATTTCACTCTGGGTGCCTCCATATGCAGCCCCACCGCCCCCTCAGGGATGCCAAGCGCGGAGCCTGGTCCCAGCATCTGGCGAGCGGCAGCAGCCCAGCAGGAGCCCTCTCAGGCAGCCTCGACCACGAAAAGATTTCACTCCTGGAGCTCTTTTGAGGGAAAAGCTGGTAAAACGTCAAGGTGTCTGCTGACTCACCTTTGTCATCTCTTTCCTAAGTCTGAGGCAGGTCTGGGGAGAAAACCATGTGTGGCCAGTGAAAGCCACTAACTCACTCGCCCACTGCCAAGAGTCCCCTCCTGGGGCAAACCCCTTCCTCGGGGCAGGACCCCCTCCTTAAGACAGGCCCCCTCTTGGGGCCAGACCCCCTCTTTGGGGAAGACCCCCTCTTTGGGGCATGCCCCCTTTTTGGGAAGGGTCCTCCTCCCTGGGGCAAGCCCACCCATCTGGGTGTTTCATGCTAATGAGTCAGGGTACAACCGCCTTCTGATTTGTTTGGAGGCTTGTGACAATTAAAATGAGTTGATAGAGAATTTTTTTAAAGGCAGGCTCAAACTTCTCTTCTTTAGATCATTTTCAGGTGGGTCATCATAGAAACAGGGAAGAAAGAACAATTTTCCCTCATCCCCTGTATTTCCACTTGTTGCAGATCTTCCCTAAACAGTGATTTACTAGGTGATCACAGAAGTACTGAGCCCACCATGGGACCCTGCATTTAGGACTACAATCCTCAGGGTCCAGTCCTATTGGGGTTTTCCTGTCTGTGTGGGCGAGTAACACTGCAAGTCTGCCCAGAACAGAAGTTCCACACCTGGATAATTTATGTCCACAATCATCACCTCAGGTGGTTTATGTCACCATGAGAAAGCACGGCCAGGCCTAGGGGTTATGGACTTGGTGCCATTGTGTCCACAGCCAGCTCCTGATTCGTGCTAACATACCCTAGAGGCGTGGGGACAGAAGCTGTCAGGTGACCCTCTGGCTCCACTGACCCTAGCTAGTATCAGGGCCCAGGACAAGGAGAAGTGACCCCAGGTCACCACCTCTCCTCACCCACTTTTGCTAGAACTATCAGATAATTGAAGATTCCAGGTGAGAGGAAGGAAAAGCAGCAGCCCGAGTTGTCCATTGACCATATGGTCAGGCCATTAGTATTGGGGACTGGTTGCTGGTGGCCATGCGAGCCAACCTCCCCCCTCAGACAGCCTCCCGCTCTGCCTGACTTGGCTGACCAGCAGCCCAGCACTATGTGGAGCACGGTAGAGGGGGTCCCGCCGAGAGAAGCCAGCCAGCCCCGCAGACCATATATGGTCGCTGCTTGGCCATGGCAGACAGCATCCTGATCACTAGCCGTAGGACTAAACCCTCCTTCTCTTCCTCTTCTATGCAGATCAAGATCTAGGTCTCCTCGGAGAAGGGTGCACTCCCCGGAGCGGCGACGGGAGGACAGGGGTGTCCCCACTGCCTACCGTGTGAGCAACAGCCCCAGGGTCAGCCACAAACGGATGCGCTCCAGGTAGGCTGAGCGAGCATCACACCCTGGACTGACTGGACGTGGGCATCAGGTCTCTGTAGGAGCGGAGACTGGGGCTTGGGGGATGGTACCTTCTTTCCAGGACTGCGTGCTCACTGCTCGTCTCCATTCACGTGCTGGTTGTTCTCAGTACTTTAAATCTCATGATTCTGGGACACACTTTACAATAGTTGACCAGATAGCGTGAACTGAACTTTTCTGAGCACTGGAAAACCAGGAAATCCATGTGGCTGGCTCTACTGCAGCAGTCCTCAGGGTCTGCCTGCACAGAGAGCTTGGTTGTGGTCACTGAGGGGAGACAGTTCTCGATTTTTAGACTGTCAGAATCAGGACAGCAGGGAGGGGATCTGAGCTCCATATTGCAGGCACTGCTTGCTTGTCAGGGCCCACTGGGTTCCTGAGACCTGCCCCCTGCCCTACACTTGCACTTGGCTTAGACACACATCAGTCACTGCTGTCATCACAGCCCTCCAGAGCGCAGGAGGACCAGTAGTTGTCTGGCTGCAGGAGGCGAGCCTGTGGTCAGCCCATTCTTCTCAGGTGGGAGCTCATCACACGCCCACTTTGCACTCTACCTCACTTGGGCTCTGCACCCTTCGCCCTGCCCCTCCCAGGTAGGACCCGCATTCCCAGTTGTGGCCTGGCTTCAGTCCTTGGCACTTAGCTGTTTTGATCCTGGTCACAAGCACAGTAGACAACAACCCCAGTTAGTGCCACAGCAGACTGCCCCAGCTTGGCCTCTTTGATGACTCTCCCCTCAGCACAGGTGCTTTCTGTGACAGGTCCTTCCTTAGTTAACCTGACTAGCCTCCCATTCATGGCTGGTAGCTGCCACCAGGGTGTCCACTCCAGTGAACTTGGGCTTCACGTCTACCTGAAACCCAGGCTTCCAGGTGTGCAGACCTGGCATCCTCTGTGTGAGTTCCATACGGGGGGCCCTCTGCAGCCTTGAATTACACCATGTGGGGCCTCTCCCTGAACAAACATCCCCTCCCATCAGTGCCTCAGAATCTACTTAGAGAGCAGTTCTGGAAAGATCCTGAACGGGGAATGAATGGTGCTGTAATTGGAGCACTTGTGCTTCAGTTTCTATGACCAGTAAAATGGAAACTCTTTGCTAAAACAAAACTGTCAGGACTGTGAAGCTGTCTGATCTGGTTCACTCTGTGTTTATCAGCTGCTTCTGTGCTGCTTGTCCCTCCCTCACGAAGCACGGGTGGGCCATTGTGATGTGGTGAAAATTGAAATCTACTTGAAGATTTTCTTCCCTCAGCAAGTAATTGTTGAGCATTTGAAATTCATCATCACCTTCTGTGGAGGGAAAGGGCACAGTCTAAAAATGGATTCTAGCAGCCAAAGCTGTCTCCTTGCTGAGCGTTCCTGCATTGCCCTCGGATTAACCTCCACGTGAGAAGAGACCTCACAGGAGAAGATGGCAATTATATTGGGAATCAGTGTGCACTCACAGGACCCCCCCCAAGACCTCAAACCTGCTGTCTTCCTGACACTGTCATGGACTTTAATCAGGCACATATACAGCCAAGGGAATCAGACGCTGCTGGCCGGTTAGCTCAGAGATGCCAGGGACCCGTGACTGTCGGCTGTGGGGTGGCCTGATGGCAGAGTGGGCCTGGTGTGATTAGCGAGGGAAGATACGCACCTGCACTTAGCATGCACCTTCCGCCTTCCTGTCTCAGGTGAGCGTTTCCAGGAGCACACCTTGTCCCCTTCTGCCCCTCTGGCGGCCAGTTTTCGAAACTGATGGCAAGGATTTCTCTCACAGACTTGGAAGAAGTTCTAATTTACAGAAAAGCTTTTAAAAAACCCAAGAGTACAGTGAACTATCTTCACCTTAATCTGGCAAGTATGCATGTGGCACACACTTGTGCTCTAAAAGTACAGCTCTTGTGAACTGTGTTGATGGTGTCATGTCTCCTGAAATAAGCAAACTACTTAGGAGTACATGCAGCCAATACATGCAAATCCTCTGTGCTGAAATCCTGAAAGGCGTCGGTAAATGGCAGGTGAGCCTCTCTTGGTTGGTCAGATGTCCACTTTCACCAGTCTGACCTATAAATTGTCCACCCTCAGAACACTGTGGCTGAGCCTAAAGCCCTGGGGAAAAACATGGGGCCACAAAGGTCCTGACCACCTGACAGAGAACAAAGCTGGGACCTGGAAAGGGGCCAGAAGCAATTCACTGAAGTCTTGGTGATAGTGTGCAGGCAGCCTACCAGTCAGGGCACTGACAAAGGTGCCAGAGCCATGCACTGAGGTCGGAACTTGCTAAAACTGCCAAATATCAGATCAGAATGCAAAACAGCAAACCTTGCACCATACACAGGTTCATTCATGGTGGGTCACAAGTCCAAACAGGCAAACCATACTATAAAGCCTTTTTGAAGAAAATGCAGGAGAATATCTGTTGACTTTGGAAGTCTCAGAGACTCTCAGGGCTTAGAAAACTCTGCCATAAAAGAAATTAGATGTCAGTGAAATGAAAACCTTCTCTTTATAAGGTATGAGGTTTTAAAAATAAATCCACAAGGCCTAGGCTGGAGAAGATTTACAACCCTGTTTTCTAATAAAGGCTTTGTATCAAAACAAAAAAGACAGTCCAGTAAAGAAATGAGCGAGTGACCTAACCAGATGTTTCACAAAAGTCTTTTTAAGATGGCCCATGAGCTCAAAAAAAAAAAAAAAAAAAAGATGGCTACCGCTAACCAGGACAATGCTAATTAAGCTCTACTAAGGAGTCTGGGCTCTATGAGGAGAAGTGTGGCATCAGGATTGGCGGAAGATCTGTCAACAGTCTGCGTTACGCAGATGACACAACTCTGTTTGCTGAAACTGAGGAGGACCTGAAGCGCTTGTCGCAGAGGGTCAAGGATTACAGCCTTCAATATGGATTAAGGCTCAATGTCAAGAAGACAAAGATTCTAACCACTGGTCCTATTGGCAGCATCAGGATGGATGGTGAAGAGATTGAGATTGTTCACAGCTTTAGTTTGCTTGGCTCCACAATCAGTACTCTTGGCACCAGCAGCCAGGAAATTAAAAGATGTATTGCGATGGGAAAGTCTGCTGTTAGGTACCTCTCCAGGGTACTGAAGAGCAATGATGTCATTCTGGAGACTAAGGTGTGCTTGATACAGGCCATGGTCTTTGCAGTCACTTGCTATGCATCAGAGAACTGCACAATAATTAGGGAGGCTAGCAGGAGAATTGATGTCTTTGAGCTGTGGTGCTAAAGAAGAGTATTGAATGTACTGTGGACTGCTAAGAAAATGAACAGGTTTTCATCCTAGAGAGGGTTAAACCAGGCTGCTCCTTGGAGGCAAGGATTCTAAGGCTTCATCTGACATACTTTGGACATAATGCAAGGAGGGACCAGTACATGGAGAGGGATATCATGCTTGGGAGTGTGGAGGGACAGCGCAGGAGGGGGGAAGACCCTCAATGAGGTGCATTGATCCGTGACTGGGGTAATCAGGGTGGGTGTGTCGGAGATTGTGAGATTGGCACAAGCCAGAGCAGGGTTTAGGGCTGTTGTACATAGGGTTGCTATGAGTCGCAAACAACTCAATGGTACATAACAACAACAACAACAACAAGTGTTAAATGATGCCGGAAACAGATGATGGAGGGAGTAAACCGAGTCAGTGTCCCAAAAGGATTATTCAGCCTTCAGTCATTTCAGGAGCTAGCATGCGATCAAAAACCAATGGGACTGAAGGAGCCCAAACTCTTAAAAGAAGTCCAAATTTACCAAAGACATCATGAAAAACACAGCTCCAGGAATTGATGGAATACTAATCTTAAACACCTGAAAAATTGGATGCCGTTTGGACGTGCTCACTCATCTATACCAACAAATGTGGAAGATAGCTACCTAACGAACAAGCTGGAAGAGACCATTCCAGAGAAGGAAATGATCAGAAATTAGCAGCAGTGTAATGAATATCATATGCAAGTAAAGTCTTGCTCACAGTTATTAAAAAATGGTTGAAACAGTACATCACCAAGGAACTGCCAGAAATTTAAGCTAGATTCAGAAGACACTATAGTACCGAGAATATTATTGCTGCCAGCAGATGAATCTTGGCTGAAAGCAGAGAGTACCATTATATTGGCCATTTAAAGGCATTTGGTTGTATAGGTCATTATGAATAATACATGAATGGGTCTCAATGTTTATCATGGAAAAGAATGGAAATTCAAGAATATTTAATGGTGTACATGGTGAACCTATGCATAGACCAAGACAACTGTTCAAACAGAACAATGGGATATCACATGGTTTCAGATTAGAAAAGGTTTATGTCAGGGTTGTATGTTTTCAATTGTATAGTATTCTATCTATGTTGAGCAGATAAACCAAGCTACTAGGGGCTATGTGAAGAAAAATGTGATATCAGGATTAGAGAAGGACTCATCAGCCAGCATTTTGTAAATGACACAACCTTGCTTACAGAAAGTGAAGAAGGCTTAAAGCACTTTATGAAGCAGATTAAAGACTACAACTGAGGGAGGAAGCCCTGGTGGCCAAGTGGCAAGAAGCTGCACTGCAATCCCGAAGATACATGGTTTGAATCTACAAAATGCTCCGCTGGAGAAGGGTGGGCAGTGTCCTCCTGTGCCAGTTGGATCCATCTTGGCAGCATACAAGGGGGAAAAAAGACTACAGCTGTCTGTATGGAAAATTGAAGTTGTCAGCAATTTCATTTTACTTACATCCACAATCAACAAGCTGTAATGAAATAAGGCAAGATATTGCATGGGCCAAATCTGCTACCAAGGGTGTCATTTTAAAGACTAAGGTGCACCTAACCTAAGTCTGTTTTTAATCACCTCATGTACTTGCATAAGCTGGACCATGCATAAGACAACTGAGGAAGAATTGATGCCTCTGGATTATGATGTGTCCAAAGAATACTGATTTTGCCACAGACTGCCAGTAGAACAAACACATGTGTCTTGAAAGAATGTTCCTTAGAAGTAGATAGTGAGATTCCATCTCCCGTGCTTTGTATGTGTCATTACCAGTCCCTGGAGGAGGACCTCATGCTTGGAAAAGCAGAGGGTCACCAGAGAAGAGGAAGACTCAGCGAGACGGTTTGACTAGTGGCTGCAGCAGTGGGCTTCGTGGGCCCAAGCATAGCCATGATTACGAAGCTGCGACAGGGCCTAAGGCTTGCTTTAAAGTCAGAAGAACCAAGCTGACAGTACCTAACGACAACTCAATGTAAAGAGAGCATTACCATGGAAACTTGTAAGTTGGGACCAGCCCAGATGTTTTATTGACCAGAAACTGGGTAAATTGTGACATATTCCTGCAGCGAGTTCCCAGTCAAGGAACCCACAGTCCTCGATGTACACACACAGTGGTGACAGCTCCAGCACCATGACATCTTGTGGAGTGAAGGACACAGATGGGGAGTCAGCATGGAAGGAACTTCATGGAATGGTGGGATGTGCTCCGTCAGGTCAGGCATCTGGTCGCACAGGAATGGAGTGCACTCGTGCAGAGAAGTGAGCAGATAGGCTCTCCTTCAGCATGAGCTGCCAGGCTGTGGTTTGAGGAGGGCGTAGTAAGTGGTCCCCATTCACAGTGAGGATGGCCCCGTGCCTCTCAGTGACGTGTGCAGGACCACATCAGTGAGGCCACATAAGGGGCTTGCATCATTTCAGACCCAGAATTCTAGTAATTTCCCCCCCCCCTTCTTTATTGTGTGTTTCAAAGGGTTGTGATTTACAAAGCAAGAAAGCCGTCCCTCTGAGAAGGGCTCACAGACAGTGGAGAAGGGACCCCAAACCCCTTTTTGAACTGAGTGTGTCTTTGAAGTTACGGAAGGAGGGCAGTGTTGCCGCGAGTCGGGTCATCACAAGAGGGCTCGTTAGAGGAGAAGGCCAGAAATAAGGAGGAACACCCGTGCTTCTCAGTTCTGAGACTGTCGCATTTGTATCTGGAAATGCTGTGGCATGAAGCAACTGGCAGGGATGCAGCCAGAGCAGCATAAACAGCATGGGGCTGGTCATCTTGTTCACATGCAAATGAAGTGATACTTTATTTCCACATGAAGGACTCTAAGTGAGCAGAAAGCGAGCTTTCCTCTGACTCCAAATGACTTGTTAAGCCTGTCAGTTGTTTTCCTGGATCCATTGATTGCTGGTTAAATCGAACTTGTACCTTGGTATCAATGTGTGTCGCCCGAAAGGAACAAATGTGCAGAAAGGGAAGCCCTGACTCATCACCTGAAAAGCTCTCCACCAAATAGCACGAACCCAGCATTGCTGCTGTCCCTACTGCCTTTGTCTGTAAGCCTCATGTCGCTCTTGCTCCCATATCTCCCCTCCAGAAGCCCCCATGAGAAGAAGAAGAAGCGGCGGTCACAGTCAAGAACCAAGTCCAAGGCTCGTTCTCAGTCGGCATCCCCGAGCAAGCAGTCTGCTCACAGGACGTCGGCACATTCAGCTAGCATCTCTCCTGTGGAGAGCCGGGGGTCCAGCCGGGAGCGCTCCAGGTAATGCCTATCAGTCAGGGGTCCCGGCTCTGCTCTACCTGCTATCTGGGATGGACAGACGGCAGTGACAGTGTGTGGCGTGCTCTGGCCTCCTGCCTTCATGTCATGTGGGGGGAGTGGAGACTGTGTGTGGGAGCTCTGATTGGTTGGCTTGGGGAGGTGGTCCCCAGAACTGAAGCTGCTCCTTACTCAAGCGGAGTAAGGAAGCCAGACCACCCCACTGGATGGATGCACATTTAGCGTCAGCCAGAGAGACTCAGACCAAGTCAGGACCAGGTGCTAACCCTTGGGGTTAGTGGCTTCCAGCTCCCCTCCTGATGGTTCCCATTTCACTAAAGCTGAGACCACCCGTGGCCAGGCAGACAGGCCCAGCATGTCCCGCGTGGGGTAGTGTCCCATGAGGTGGGTGGAGGGTGTGATGCGTTACGCTCTTCTCACCTCTCTGTCTGCTTTAGGGGCGTTTCTCAGGAAAAAGACGGTCAGATCTCCTCAGCAATTGTCTCCTCCGTGCAGAGCAAAAGAACTCAGGTGAGATGCCAGGACACTTGTGCAACCCATCCTCCCCATGATCTGTTTCCACTGACACTCCCAGGGGTCCAGTAAACAGCGAGGGTGGACCTCCGAGGAAGTGCCAGTCCAGGGACGCGGCTGCTGGGCCAGAAGTTTGTGGTGGGCATTGCTGGTGCCCTGTGCACACGCAGCCCCCCTCTTCCCAACTCTGTGACAGCCCCACCCCCATCAGACCTCAGGGCCTGGACCGTGAGGTGACCACAGGGTGACAGGGCTCCTGTCCTCACTGATGTCATCATGTGTTGTCTCCTGAGCACTGTCCCTGGCTCTCAGTCGTGCTTACACAGTCCCTTCATGTCCTCTTGTCTGCACAGGACCTTATGGCCAAAGTGAGAGCGATGCTTGCAGCTTCCAAAACCCTGCAGACCAGTGCCTCCTGAGCCCACTCCCTGCGTGCTCGGCCTCCGCCCCCACGGCCACACAGGCACCATGGTCTGCAGCATCTGAGGTGGCAGGTCTGGAGCGCCCAGATGTTCGCTCTGTCCGGTCCAGACCACCCTGGAAGCTGCTGGATGTTCCATCCTGGCTCCCTTGGACACACGGTGGCTTTTGTAAATTAATTTTTGATGACATTTTCAGTTTTAAGATTTTTTGACCAGCAGTCACTTATCTGTATATATGTAAATAATACCATGTTTCTGTGAAAATGTATCAAATAAACCAGAGGAAGACTCCTTTTCTAGCTGGCTCTGGGCAGCCCCTTCCTTGCTGGCCCCATGACTCCGTCCTTACCAGCACGCCACCGTTGCTGGGATCTGCTGCATATTGGTCACAGCCAACCAGGCAAGTGTATGTAGGTTTTGCCCACTCGGCTGGCCTCTCCTGCCCCCTCCTCTCTGTCCCCAGTCCACTTCCCGGCCTGCATCTTACTCCCTGTGAACAGGTCATTAACCTCAAGGGGCCCAGTCCCTGCTCACACTGCTGCTGAGAAGGGTGCTTGGCTGTGCTCAGGCCACACTGAGAAGGGACTGCCCATGTTGTCTGGGACCCTTGGAAGGCAGATGGGCTGAGAAGCAGCACTGTGGCACCTGGATCCAGCTCCTCCTAAAGCTAGCTTCTCTCCTTTTGCTTCTAGAGAGTCCCATGTAACAGGTGGTTGTGCGCTAATCTGATCCCAACACCTGTTGTACTCACAAGTACACACACATACACAACACAAGCTGATCCCAGTGCCTGCCACCTGGCTCACCTCAGTCCTGCTCAGCCTCTGCCCCAGAGTCCCTGAGCCTCTGAACCCCCGCATGTGGAGTGTTCTCATCACAGCCCCTATAGCCTCTATTTCAGTGGGGTCCATGGATCCCAGCAGTGCCTCCTGGAAAACACTGCAGAGCCCTGTAGGCTTGGCCATCATACCCCAGGGAGAAAGGCCATGTAGCCACTCAGTCCCTCCCAGGCCATTTCCTTCCCAGCAGAGTACAAGGATGCCCAGCACATGAGCCACAGCAAGTCCACGAGGCACAGCACACCCAGAGATGTCTCAGGGCTGTGCGTCAGACCTGGTTCTGTGATCCAGACATAGAAGGGACACGGCTTGTGCAGACGAAGGCAAAGATGAGAGATTCTTCCACCAACCAAGACAGGGGGTGCCACCAAAGCTGGAAGGCGCTTGCTCTCAGGTCTCCTGAGGGAGCACAGCCCAGGGGTACCTTGACCTGGAGCACCTGGCTCCAGGATTTCAAGAGAAAAGAATGTGTCTGTTGTTTGACTACTCCTACCCCTCTGATGCTTTGTCACAAGGCATTAGGAAACACATGGGAGCAATTCCAGAATGAGCTGTAGATGGAAGAGACTATCCTCGCCTCCCCTCATTAGTGTCCTACGTTAGTTTGAGGCAATTTCGACTCATCATGGCTGGCACGTCACTGCTGGTTGTACTGGGCTGCACCACTGATGTGCTCAGACACCGGAAGTTACTCCCTGGTCCTGTGAAGCCTTTAGTTCCTTTTTCTTTTAGGAAAAGACAGCTCGCCCTGGTTTGTTATTTTCCCTTAGCGGTTTTAAAAAGAGGCTCTGGTGACATGGTGCATTATGTGAGGTGCTGCTAACTGAAAGATCAAAGGTTCCAGTCCACCACCAACTCTCAGGAGAAACCTGGAAAATCTCCTGTAAAGACTCATGGCCTGAGGGACCCTGGAGGCCATTCTCTGCCCTGCAGGCTCTACTGTGGGCAGCTGTCTACTTAATGGATGATGGTGGGTTTGGGGTTTTGGTTTTAAAGGTTTTAGACCCAGACACCTGCAGCATTGGACTGTGAGAGGGGCACACACTGAGGGCAGCGGACATGGCTGTGGGCAGAGGCTCTTGAGTCTTGTCAGTGGTAGATGGGGAGGACACACTCCACCTCTGCCAACAGCTCCAGTAGCAGCAGCAGCTGTGACGAGGACAACCAGAAGCTGATCCACCAGTTAGCAGGGTGCACATGTCCAAACTGCACAGAGTACGGTGGATGCCAGGACCCCCTGCCTGGCCCCTCCCTATCCCTGGTCTCTGCAGCCACCATGTCCCCATCACTGAAGTGATGCGTACCTGTGCTTATCAGGGCTCCAGTTTTCCTCCGTTGACTCTTCTCAGCCTTGTCATGCCTGGGATCCCAAACTGTCTCCCTGGGCTACTCCTGGCTGGCCCGCTTTGTTCTTTGGATGGTTCTCGAATTTTCTATTTCATAAACAGTGCATCAATGACCAGCCACCCTCCATGGACTTTTGGCTTGTTCCTGATCTTTTTGCTGCTGTAAATCACCCAGTGACAACTTCATCTGTGATATTTCTCACATCTGCCCGAGCAGCTCCACAGAGCTCTGCAAACTTTCCCTGCAAAGAGCCTGATAGTAAATATTTTGGGATTTGCAAACCATGGTTTCCATAGCAACGCTCTGTACCCCGCCCACCCCTATTGTCAGGATAGCTTGAAGCCATTGAGAAGAGTCCAGCTGACCTCGCCATGGTACCTCCAGTGTGGTGCAGAGCCACACGGGACTCAATTGCCCAGCACAAATACAAGATAGTTCACGCTGCTGTAGCTGATCTGTACATTAGTGGATGGGGAGCTCAGAATACTATGACAATGAATGACCAAGAGTGCTGTGGACACAAAATGAGCAACATGCCGATGGGAAAACAGAGCCAACAGACTTGCTGGACAGGTTGCGACCGACCTTCGGTTTGTAAAATGACACGTCTACAAAGCCTATGAAACGAGGTGCACCCAAGAGCACGTGGATGTGGCCATGTTCCAGCAATGCTCCATGTGGACACTGAAACTGGAATTTCATATCATTTCTGTGCAGCACAAAATGTTCTTTAGGGTTTATTTCTTTTTTAAATCATTCAAGATTGTAAAAGCCATTCTTGATCTGCACGGCCAGTGGGCCGCCCTCAAGCTGGAGCAGGCCAGCCCTGGGTCAGCCTCAGATGGTCTCCCCTCGGCATCACTTATGAGTGAAGCCACCAGCCCCACTCCTGCCCCACCCCAAGTCGTAAAACCTTGAAAAAAAATTGGAAGACAGTGCTTCCTAGTTTGTAATCTAAGGACAGAGCTACGGATTGCGAAGTGTGGTAAGGATAGGCACAGGCCAATGGGTCCGGACTGAGGGTGAGGATGATCTTAACACAGTCCAGGAAAAGCTGGGCTGCCTCACACACGCACCCTGTGCATTGGGGAGCTCAAATAGCAAAGTCAAAAGCAAGTGTAGTGTCCTTCTCTAAGGAACAGCTGCGGAAAGGCATACCCTAAGTATGTAAGACTTGGAAAGATGTAGTGTCATCAAAAGAGAGGAGCCCCTCAGGCAGATGAACTGACACAGTGACTATAGCAGTGGGCTCGAGGGTGTCAGAGATGATGAGGATGGCACAGGATAAGACAGGCAGGGTTCAGAACTAACTGTTCCTAAGGTTGCTATGAGTTCTACTCAATGGCACCTAACAACAATAATAAGAGGAAGCGGGTGTACAACCCTGGATTAGGCCAATGATTTCTTAGGTAAAAGCAAAAAATTAATAGATAAATTGAGTATTATCCGAGTTTTAGCTATTTATGTTTCCAAAGACAGCACACAGGATACAAGAGAAAATTTTACAAATCTGAAAAGGGATTTCAAGGTACAATACTTAAAAAGTCCTTTAAATCAGTAACAAAGAGAAATAATTAAAAAATGGATAAAGGAAATGCATATTTCTTCAACACAAAAGAGTTTATCAGGTTTCCAAGGCTGTAAATCTCAATGGGAGTCAACTTGTTTCATCTCGCTCCCACAGAGCTGCTGGTGGCTTTGAACTGGTTAGCAGCCCAACACAGCGCACAATACAAACATACCTCCTTATTTCTCTAAGGAAGACAGCAGTTGCTAGTCAGCCCTACAAAATCCTCAACACCTTTGTCATCAGAGATGTGTCCACAGAGGAAGGTGGCCAAGCCACAGCTAAGCAGAGGCCCAGCTCCTTGAGACAAATGCCCACCAGTCTTTTCAGCCTTCTTAGGACCAAGTTAAGGGCGGGCCAGCCCCTTGGTGTCCCCATTGAGGACTGGTCAACCTGTGCCATGGATTGAATTGAGTCCCCCACAATGTGTGTCTGGTATGTTGTCCTGATGTCATCTCTGATGTTAACGAGGCAGGATGCCACCTACAGGATGAGGTCATATTGAGTCAATTCATTTTGAGATGTAGAAGAGGTTCAACAAATGAGCAGTGATCACAGGGACTTCCTACTTCCAAGAAGAGTTGGGACCAAAACTTGTCTTCTCCTAGTGTCCCTGCGCACACTTCCACGACACGGAAAAGTTAGGGCTGGAACACAGAGGTCCAAGGATGCAAAACCCTAGGTGCTGACAGGAGACAAGGGCCTTCCCGCAGAGCAAAGAGCAAGCCTTCCCTGGGAAAGTGTGCCTGAGACATCCTGCCTGGCCTCTGGCCAGAGAGTCAGTCACTAACCAGAGTGGGAACCCCAGTGGCTGAGGTTTTAGGGTTGCCAGCAGCTGCTGGCCTTAACCCAGGACCGTGTATGTGTGCGCGCAGTGCTCCCAGTATGCCCCTGTCTGTCTGCTTAGCTTTCAGTCACAACGAGCCATGGCCCATTTAATCTCACTCATGTCTCTGGTTACACCAAGGGATGGATTATCTAGCATCATGAGCAGCCCCGTCCTTCAGTCACAACACTACAGACACACATCTCAATTCACACGGGTGAGAAGTTGCTTTAATTACAACTTCATCAATTATTCAGCTGGGGCAGGTCAGGGATGCAGCTATTGGAGCAGGGACATGGAGGGCTGGAGTCGAGACTTCTCTCCAGCTCTAGAGCTCAGTGGCCTCCCCTCTGATGGACTAGCTGGGCTGTGCCAGGCACAGGGTAAGGCTGTCCTTGGCACTGGAAGGGACTCAGGTCTCTTTTTCAGGACTCTGGTCTTCCAAGGCGCTCAGAGAATCAGGCCACAGCTACAGCTCACAAAGCCAGGAGACTAGCAGCTCCAGGAGAACAACTCTACAGCCATCATCAAAGGACGTGTCTATGCCCAGGACAGTGCCAGGCCTGCCAAAGGCCAGTGCTTGGGGGGCGGGGGCTCTCCACCAGCTTCCATGAGCTGAGAGCTTTCTGGGTGCCAACCACAGTGTTGCTGGGAGTAACAGACAGGTCAATGGGCAGATAGAGGAGGGCCATTCGGACCAACCTTGAAGAGCTCTGTGGGTGCGGCCAAAGATCGGGAAGAGGGGAGAGCTGGGAATGTTTGAGGTAACATTCTAGTCACCTCCCTCCACAGCTAGACCAGGAGATAATCTTTCTCCCACTGAGTGGCTGGTAGGGTTAAACCTATGACTTACTGGGTAGCTGAATGCCTTATGCCCAGTACCACTAAAAAAAGTGATAGGATCTGACCAAGGGGCCCATAAGCCAAAACTGGATCAAGAAAACAGACTGGATTCTCTCTCAGAGCATACAGCTGCTGCCCACTACCATACTGTACACCACTACACAAGTGGACATAAGAAGGGGTAGCAGATGAGTGAAGAGCAGGAAACCCTCTCAGGTTCGTAAGTGATGGGTGCAGCGTGTCCCTGCCCCTCCCAAATGTGGTGGGCTGCACTGCCTTTCCATTCTGGAAGCCAGGTGTCCCAAGTATGGGTTCAGCAAGGCCTGGGAGGGCTCCCAGCATCTGGTGGCCCAACTGTACCATGGTTTATGGGCTCATCATTCCATCTCTGCACCTCCTTTTCCATCAGGCTCCCTGTGTGTCTCTTGAAGGACCCTTGTCTGTTGGTTAGAGGTGCTTACTCACTCTGGATGGCCTTGGCTCTGATCTCTGTCACTACAGCTGAACCCCCTGAATAAAGCAACCTTGCAATAAAGCTGATGCTCTAGTCTGTAAACTGTGCAATAATAACACGATGAGAAGTTGGAAGTATTGTCAGAATCACCAAAATGGGACACACAGCCACAAAGTGAGCAAATGCTGATAGGAAATGGCACCTACAGACCTTGGATTGAAAGGCAACTTTAGCGAAGTGCATTCAAGTGCAATAAAGCCAGTCAAATCCACAAGCCTTTCTTTCTAAAGAGCACCCCTAAACAGGCGCCAGGATCTTATGGGGCACCATTCAGCCCCTGAGAGTCATGGAAGGCAGCCTGCTGCCACCTACCCTAAAATACAGGGTGCTGTGGGGGGGAGGAGCAGAGCCCTGGACTCAGCAAACACGATGTCACTTCCTCCAGCTCCTGAGGCCCAGACTACATGGAGAAGGCTAGATTCTGTCCATCACCCTGGGGCCCATCTCTTTCCTTGTCCCCTTCCAGTGCAGCCCAGATTGGTTTGTAACTAGCTCTGTTTTGTTGAGTCTGAGAGACACTTCCCTCCTGCTGGACCCAAGAGCGGAAGCATCCATGGTGGCAGTGGTGTGTCTCAGACGGAAACTTCCGAACACACAGGTTAACATGCATGTTGGACATCCTCCTCTCTGGGTAATATGATCTGAGGGGACACTCAGTCTGCTGCTAACCCAAAGGCTGGAGGTTCAAGTCCACCCGGAGGCACCTCAAACCCAAAACCTGGTGTTGGATGTCAGAAAGTGTATCACTGAAAACCCAAGCTCTCCTGGGACACACTGTGAGAGGGCTACTGGCACCTTCTGATAGCGAGGTCCTCCTAACTCCCACCCTGAGAGGAGCACCCCATGGACAAGAGCCGCAAACAATGTTCCAGGACAAGGCTAAAGAGTGACCAGTGGGTGTGAATTGTGTCCCCGTTCCTTGGAGGGGATTATGGTCTGAAAAAGGTACAGGGATCCATCTAGGGTGGGGACTATCAAGAACACCAGCTGCCCGGGACACAGCCAGCAAGCACAGCAGGTATGGGCATAGAGCTGCCGGTAATGGGGTCCTTTTACACTCAAACGCGTGCACATACAGAAATACATGAACGCGCACAGAAACACAGTGCATGCATGCATACACCACGTGTGACCTCTCGGCCTCCGGTCCCATTCCAAAGCGGGATCCAAAAATGTGAGACCCAATGGACGTACAGTGTGGGCGCCGCAACTCACAACAGTCACCCCTCCCCAAGGCGGCAGGGGTCCCCAGCCCCCCACCGCGCGCTCCCGCCCCCACCGCGTCCTGCGCGGAGCACGGGCTCCACCACGAGCCCACCGTGCGCGCTGCAGGCTCCTGCCCGAGGTCCCCCGCAGAGTCCAGCTCCAGCCCGGCGGCCAGCCCGCCGCGCGCACACGAGAATAAGTCCCTCCGCTCCCCGCGGGCCGGCCGAGCTCCAGCCCCGCCGCCGCCAAGCACGCCACTCAGTAGGCACGCGGGTCCTTTAAGATAGGGGGCGGTGCCTGCGCCTGCGTTTGCATATATTAACATATCTTAGTGCTGCTTGGCCCCGCCCCGCCGCCTGGAGGCGAGCGCGGTGCGCGCGGGGCTCAGTCCGGCGGGAGAGGCCTGCGGAGCAGAGTGCGGAGCGGGCAGCGGAGCCATGGGGCCT